AAATAGATGTCAATCCCGGATCATATCCACATAATAAAGGTTGAAGATTATCAATTCGAACCGGTGTTGGAAGGACGAGATTTGGCCGAGGTCGGGGCAGAGGTGTGCTGTGAGGAACGAAAATTACACCGTAGGGCTGGGTGAATTACACCACACTTGTAACAATTATGTTTATAATTGCAACCAGGGCAGTGATCGCCACGGTGAAACCTGCGACAAAACCCTCTGGGAACAAAGGGCCCGGCAATTGAAGAGGACAGTTGTTGCGCAGAGTTCATGTTATTGGGTACCCACCGGCAGCTTAACAAAGTATGCATCGAGAAGTTGTTTGTCGGTGACGTCACCGTGACCCCAGTTCCTGTTTCTCGGAATTTGGGAGTATGGTTTGATTCTCACATGAGTTATGTGACACACATAAATAAAACATGTAAAGTTGCGTTTTTCCACCTTCACAACATCAGAAGAATAAGAAAATTTCTTTCAAACGAGGCAGCTCAGACATTGGTTCATGCATATGTGATGGGAAAACTTGACTATTGTAACAGTTTACTTTTTGGGTTACCTGATAAACAGATAAAGAAGCTGCAGCGTGTGCAGAATGCGGCTGCCTGGTTGATTTCCTATACTCCACGGTTTGGACATATAACTCCAGTGTTGCGTACATTACATTGGCTTCCAATTAGATTTAGGATAGAATTTAAAATGTTAGTTATAATATTTAAATCTATACATGGTTTATCACCTGTGTACAAAGGTGATCTTATAAGTATAAAACTACAGAGTAAATACTGTCTGCGATCAAACAATGAACTTTTACTTGCGCCGAAAGTAACTAAAACGAAGAAGACTCTTGGAGATAGAGCTTTCACCGCAGCCGCACCAAAACTTTTTAATGAACTTCCCCGAGAAATACGTATATATATATATAAAATATATATATATATATATATATATATATTCGCTAGTTTTAATTATTTTAAACTTTTAGGACCATTATGGTACATTAGTAGAATAGAAATTTTTACTCATATTGTGTAATTTTAAATTTCACCAGTTGTCACGCGCATTTGATCGTATATGAATGTAAATTTGCCCGATATAAGCATTAAATTATTATTATTATTTCTTATAACAAAAATAGTTATATAAAATAAATATATATATATATATACATATATATATATATATATATATATATATATATATATATATATATATATATATATATATATATATATATATATATATATAAATATATATATATATATAGTTTTTCGTTTTACATAAAAAAAACACAACAGTCTGTTTCATCCGTATAGGAATCATCAGCTGGTGAATAATTTCGAAATTGTAGGTTACTTTTATGCTATCGAAAGAATGTGCGGAATGCGTGTAGGCGAAACAATGAATAGGTGAAACAATGCATACTTGGGTCATTAGGTTTTGTTAACGACCTTGTTTACTCGTAACCACTTCTTTTATTGAGTAAATTGTCTTTTTTTATGTCTTTCAAAATGCAAAATTTTTCTTCCAAACATAAATTGCAGCGTTTTGATCCCCCTGTGTACGAAATAGCGTGTTTTAAAATTGACCATTTGATGGTATAATCCTGATTGTTTTCTTTTAATTTCCAAATATGTTTCGAAAGTTCCGTTTTGTTTGAGTCTTTTTTTATGACGAAAAGATGAAGG